TTCAATGCCCGCTTCTTGAGAACTGCTTTCGATGCATCTGGAGCCGACTCCACAAGCGGCTGCATGCTGCCCTGCCCAGGTTTCGACAGCCACATCGATGCGTCGTCGAACGTGTTGACGAACAAGAGGGCATCGATGCACGGCGAGCTCATCCAATATCGCAGGCCACGAGCTTGACCAACCGCATGGCTCACTAGGAACCGCGTGATATCACCTCCGTGGCTCGTGCGGCGATCAATTGCAACAGGTACGATGTCGCCACTCTCAGTGGTCACCAATTCCAAGCTCCTCTTCGAGGCTTCTCGAGAAACGCCAGGCGCACTCGCCTGCTCCACTGCGCTCTCTCCGCGCAAGCGGACGCGCCGAGCGACGTCGGCCTTCGCAGCATCAGCGGCCCGCCTCAACTGCGCATTCTGCATGTTCAGGATCGTCTCCTGCGAATGCGAATACCCACGGGCCCGCCCTTTGCCGCCGCCGCGCCCTGGGCCGCGGCCTCGGCCTCGGCCCGCGCCGAGGGCATCGCCACCAGCTCCTGCAGCAGCAACGGCAGCGCCCCGCCCCCTCCCGCGCCCTCCGCCGCGGCCGCGGCCTCTGCCAGCAGGGGCGGCAGGCGCTGGCCCAGCTAAGGCTGGCAGCGCGTCGGCCTCGCGCGCCACCTCCACCGCTGCTGGCACCTCAGCCGCCGCGGCGGCCACGAGGCCCGCGAACATGCGAACGTGCGCTCGGGCTCGAGCGTCGGGCTCGGCAAGCCAAAATGGCTTGAGCCAAAACGGCTCCTGAATGTGATGGCACCCACACTCGGACTCATTCAAGTATTCAGGGGGGTGCTCAAAACTCATTCGACTCGAATTGAAGGGGGTCGCGATCTCCGAAACCGACGTCGATGCCAACATCGACGACGCGGCACGGCAAGGGACAGCACAATCAGGTGCTCAAATTTGGTATCCCACGTCGGCACAGCATGGCACGGTACAGCATAGCATTACTATGTGGCAACAGTGGATTGGGGGGTAGTGGATCTGACAAACAAAATCGGGGCTCGGCATTCGGGGCTGCTTTCGCATGCACTCGACGAATATGCAAAAACTGTGCTTACACTGCACTGCTCGGAACCGCACAAGGGGAAACAACACTGCGCGACGCTGCGCCATCATGCTCATCCGCCGTTGTTCCTCCTCCTCCTATTCCTCCTCCTCCTCCTCCTTCTCCTCCTCCTCCTCATCCTCCTCCTTCTCCCCCCCCTCCTCCTCCTCCCTCCTCCTCCTCCTCCTCCTCCTCCTCCTTCTCCTCCTCCTCATCCTCCTCCTCCTCCTTCTCCTTCTCATCCTTCTCACTCGTACTACTCTTCCTCGTTCTCCTCGTCCATCCGTACCGTTCATCCCCCTCCCTCCTCCGCCTATTGCGATGAACCTCCAGAGGCCTCCAGGGAGCCTCCAGTGGGCTCCAGGGTGCCCCAGGGAAGGAGTTTCGGCCCGCCTCCTGCGATGAACCTCCAGAGGCCTCCAGGAAGCCTCCAGGTGGCTCCAGGGGGCCCCAGGGAAGGAGTTTCGGCCCGCCTCCTGCGATGAACCTCCCGAGGCCTCCAGGGAGCCTCCAGGGAGCTGCAGGGGGCACCAGGGAAGGAGTTTCGGCTCGCCTCCTGCGATGAACCTAGGCCCACAGGGAATCTCCAGGGGGCTCCAGGACGCCCCAGGGAAGAGGGAAGGAGTTTCGGCTCGCCTCCTGTGATGCACTTCCAGAGGCCACCAGGGAACCTCCAGGGGGCTCCAGCGGTCCCCAGGGAAGGAGCTTCGGCGTTTCAGCCGCCGCACGCGCCGCCACTGAAAAGGAGGAGGAGGTGGCGTGCTTGGCGGTTCTTGCAAACCGCTCGTGCGCCGCGCTTCAGAAGCGAAGGGATCGCGTTTGGATCGCCCCTCCTCTTCCTTGCTTGTCTTAGTCCGCCATTCACGTTTCCGAAGGGCCCCTGAGATGCCATTGCGTATGCAACAACCGCCTACAAAGTTGATTTTGGCACCTGTTTTGGAAATTCTGGCAATGCATATTTCCACCTCTGTTCTAATTTAATTGTTCTGAAGGCATGTTCCTTACAATTCTTCCCGAAGGCGAATGCTGCCATGCTGATGCGAACTTCGTCATGAGCAGCTGCTTGCTGGCCGTCACCTCCCTTGCCCTCGAAGATGAGATCCACGGTGCCACCGCCCGCGCGCCTGTCCCATCGATTGCAACGGTTGAACTGGAGCTGGTTGCCACGCTCTGCTTCGGGTGCTGCCTCCCGATGCTGACTTGCCCTCTGGAAGTGCTTGCCACAGCAGCTGCAGTACTTGTGCCCATTGCACTTGGTCCACCCCTTGCAGCCGGCAGTGCTGCACACGGCGTAGCGCTGCTTATGATGCTGATTCCACCGCTTGGACATGGTGGCAGTGTCTGACCGCTGGCGACTGCGACCAGACACAGAAAAGTGGCAGAGACTAGGAACTCTTGGGCCCAGCAGCGCGCAACTCGACTAGGCTTGCAAGAAACGGAAGCTAGCCTCGGACTAGAGGTATCAAACTCTCTGCCCGAGGGAACAACACATCTTGAACCAAAATGGCTACAGGGGAGGGGGAGGAAGAGGAGGAGGAGGAGGAGGAGGAGAAGGAGGAGGAGAAGGAGAAGGAGGAGGAGGAGGAGGAGGATCAGGAGGAGGAGGAGGAGGACAGAGAAGGAGGAGGAGGAGGAGAAGGAGGAGGAGGAGATGGAACGTTTTGGAACGTTTTGGCAAGCAACATCGTGCAACAGGAGGAGGAGATGGAGGAGGAGGAGAAGGAGGAGGGAGGAGGAGAGGGAGGAGGAGGAGGAGGAGGAGGAGGAGGAGGTGGCGCCACAGGTCGAGTACGGTAGGTTTAAGTCGGGCTTTCCCTCTACTGGAGGAATATTCAAAAAATAATAAAAGCATAGTCTGGGGGCGATGTCTCGATGATTGTTTGGCCATGTTTGAATACTTGTTGGAATAGCTTTGATGTTTCCTCCGAAATCTGCCTGTAGGGGGGGCATGCCTAAGCTAATGCTTTTACGAGTCGACGCCAACCAGCGCGAGTCGACGCGAATCGCGGCGAACCGACGCCAGATCGGCGCCCAATCGGTGCCAGTCGGCGCATTTTGTAAACGACAGCTAGACGCTAGCGCACGCCAGAACACTCCAACGCCGGAACTGCGAGGGCACACAAGGCTCCCATGATTTGCTACCGAAAGCGTGCGGGAGTGGCAGGATCTGAGATCTGAGATCCTGGCGCATCATTTTGTTCCGAGCCAGGCGTTTCCGCCAAATTCTGGGCCCGGGACCCTCACAGATCGATCCGCCTCGAAGAATGGCGCAGGGAAATAGAGCCTAGGGCTCCCGTCGTGATTGTTACGATGTCTCACTCTTTTTCGAGGCGTCGGATTTCATAGCCGGCCCCGCCCCTCCCTAACGTTGCGCTTTGCGCCAGCGCCGCCTGGGAATTGGCCATTCCTGGGCTTAGGTCGGGCATGTCCCCTTACACGCGGATTTGAGGAAAAATCAAACAAACAACAAAAAAACAGCATAGCAAACACATACTCAAAACATCGTCATCTGACAATTTTTGACTATTTTTGAATTTTCCTTCTGTAGAGGGAAAGGCCCGACTCAATCCCAAGCCTTCCTAGACGGCGCCACTGCGAATCGGGACATTCCCCGTTTTCCCAGCCGCACCAAGCCGGGGCAGCGAAGGGGTATGCTCTCCTCCCCTGTGCTGGAGGGACCCAGCGCTGCGCCGCCTCAGCCACCCAGGAGTCTCCAACCAGAGTCAAGGCGACGGGAATAAGAATAAGAAGGAGGAGGAGGAGGAGGGGGGGAGGAGATGGCAATCAGTTCGGATAGATGTCTTCCAGTCTGCTACCCTGCCAGCCCCTAGGCAGGCCCATCTGCTTTACACAGCATCACCTTGAATGATACGACGGGCAGTAGGAGAGGACGCTGTTATGGAACTGGCCCGAGCACGCAGAAAACGCAGAGCAGAGCACGAGGAGGAGGAGGAGGAGGAGGAGGAGGAGGAGGAGGAGGAGGAGGAAGGGAAGAAGAGGAGGAGGAGGGGGGAAGGAGGAGGAGGAGAAAGAGGAGGAGGAGGAGGAGCAGCAGGAGGAGGAGAAGGAAGAAGAGGAGAGAAGGGGGGGAGGGGAGGAGGAGGAGGAGGAGGAGGAGAGAGAGGAGGAGGAGGAGGAGGAGGAGAGGAGGAGGAGGAGGAGGAAGAAGAGAGGAGAGGAGGGGGAGGAGGAGGAGGAGGAGGAGGAGGAAGCAGGAGGAGGAGGAGGAGGGGAGGAGAAGGAGGGAGGAGGATGAAGAGGAGGAGGAGGAGGAGGAGGAGGAGGAGGAGGGGAGGAGGAGGAGGAGGAGGAGGAGGAGGAGGAGGAGGAGGAGGAGGAGGGAGGTCTACTCTGGGTCTGCTGCGACTACCCACTATGCTAGCCCCCCAGCAGCCCTCGAAAATTTGCGACAGCTTCGCAGATTGCAGCCCCCCAGGGATGGCGAGGTCTAATTTGGGTCTGCGGCAGCTACCCACTATGCTGGCCCCTACGCAGCCCTCGAAAGTGGCGACAGTTTCGCAGATTGCAGCCCCCCAGGAATAGCGAGGTCTAATCTGATTCTGCAGCGAGTGCCCACTGTGCTGGCCCCCCAGCGGCCTTCGAAAGTGGCGACGGTTTCGCAGATCGCAGCTCCCAAGGCATGCCAACTTTACACTTCGCAGACCCCACAGGCAAGCCACCAGGCGCACAGGAGACAGGAGGAGAAGCGAGGCGGGGAGGAGGCGGAAGGAGGACGGAGACCGCACTGCTGCATTCAGAACGGGTACCCAACGCAGGAGGGTTGGGGAACAACGGAAAACGGGCGAAAGGTCTCCTCCTCCTCCTCCTCCTCCTCCTCCTCCTTCTCCTCCTCTCCTCCTCCTCCTCCGCAGTGTCGGTACCTCTCCCTCCCCTCAGACCGCCGAGCCGAGGCGGTCCTCGCTCTCCGAGGCCTGCGCTGACGTCGACGTGCAAACGGTCTCCTCGGGCGCGGCCTACCCGACCCCTGGCAAACCACCCCCTTCCGTCACGGCCTCTCCATCGGAGATGTACTGTCCCGGGCCAATCCAAGCCCGGGTGTCGCTTAGGCCTTGCGGGATGCTGCAAGATCCTGCAGGATCCCGCGCCCAAGCCCGGGTCAGTGCACCTCTGGCTCTGCAGGAGCCTGCAAACTCTGATGCTCTGACGGGCCCCTGTTTGCATGGACCCCCGTCTCTTGCGCCCCGACTGTCGCCTGTCAGACCTCCCTCCGGCCGCATACGCGCGTCTCGGGGCGAGGCGAGGGGGACACCACGGAAAGGGATGGTTTGCTGGGGGTCGGTCAAGCCGCCCCCTGGTCTCCAGGTCGGAGCCCGCGTCCGTGGTGTCGTCGTCGTCCTCCACGGGAGGCAGCGCCTTCCCCCGCCCTGGCCGCGGCAGGCTTGCACCCTCGAGCGCCGCGCAGCCGTGGGCGAGGAAGCCGGCGGACATCGCGAGCCGGCTCTGGTCTCACGGAGGGCAAAAAAAAACTGCCAGCGAGGGGACAAGGTAGACCGGAGGAGGGAAAGATGCTACCCATGCCGGCCCCTCCAAGAGGCCCCAAGAGGCCCCCAAGACGCCCCCCGATGACCCCCCCGGAGGCCCCCACGAGGCACCAAAAACTCTCACAGATGCCCCCGAGAGTTTTCCAAGAGGCCCCTGAAGAACACTTTACAGGACCCCCATATCCATCCAGGAGTATCCTGATCCAAGATATACCTTCCTCAGTCGTCTCAAACACTCATCTCTCATGGGGGTCGGCGGAATGGAGTCAGCCACTTGAATAATCCGGAGGAGAAAAAATTAGCATTACTGTTTATCCTCCCTCGTTGTCCGTCTCTGAGCCTCGTTGAAGGCCGTCGTCGCCACCGCTGGAGTCATATCGAATGCCTGGTCGTAACATCTGGGTGCACCCCCGAGCGTAGCGGTATTAGTACATCTGGCTTCCCTCCGTAAAAATTAGCCTGGCAAAGGACCCAACCATATGCAGTTGTGAATACCGCAAATATGAATATCGTTTTCGCTGGCGCCACCTCTGGGTAGGGGAGACGCTTGCGAACACCCCCACTGGGGCCTTCGGTGGAGCTCCCTATGGGGCTACGAAGCGCTGCCCTGGGTGGGGGAACCTCATGCGGGCACCCCCACTGGGGCCTGTGAAGCTCCCTATGGGGCTACGAAACGCTGCCCTGTGTGGGGGAACCGCATGCGGGCAGCCCCACTGGGGCCCACGGTGGAGCTCCCTATGGGGCCACGAAGCGCTGCCCTGGATGGGGGAACCGCATGTGGACACCCCACTGGGGCCTTCGGTGGAGCTCCCTATGGGGCTACGAAACGCTTCCCTGGGTGGGGAAACCGCATGTGGACATCCCCACTGGGGCCTACGGTGGAGCTCCCTATGGGGCTACGAAGCGCTGCCCTGGGTGGGGGAACCGCATGTGGACACCCCCATTGGGGCCTTCGGTGGAGCTCCGTATGGGGCTACGAAACGCTTCCCTGGGTGGGGGAACCGCATGTGGACACCCCCACTGGGGCCTTCGGTGGAGCCCCCTTATGGAGCTACGAAGCGCTGCTCTGGGAGGGGGAACCGCATGTGGACACCCCCACTGGGGCCTTCGGTGGAGCTCCCTATGGGGCCACGAAACGCTGCCCTGGGTGGGGGAACCGCATGTGGACACCCCCACTGGGGCCTTCGGTGGAGCTCCCTATGGGGCCACGAAGCGCTGCCCTGGATGGGGGAACCGCATGTGGACACCCCCACTGGGGCTTTCGGTGGAGCTCCCTATGGGGCTACGAAGCACTGCCCTCGGTGGGGGAACCGCATGTGGACATCCCCATTGGGGCCTTCGGTCGAGCTCCCTATGGGGCTACGAAGCGCTGCCCTGGGTGGGGGAACTGCATGTTGACACCCCCACTGGGGCCTTCGGTGGAGCTCCCTATGGGGATACGAAACGTGTGAGAGGCGTGCCGAGAGCAGAGGCAAGGAGGGGGAGGAGGGAGGAGGGGGAGGAGGAAGGAAGGAAGGAGACGTGGGGCGATGTCTCTTCAAAACGAGGACACGACACCTCAGGATGGTAGGAAAAAACAAGAATGTGCGAATCCACATATTCCTGTAATGAGCTGATTGAAGGCAGAGCAATTGAGCTCACAGAGAGCAAACATGTTTGCCTTCAGTTCGCAAAAACGTGTACTTTCGGCGAGACGAGTACCTTCAACCGGATGCGCCTTCAGTAAACTAGCTCATCGTTTCCAACAGGGGTCAAGCAAAGCAGCGTTGCCCGTGCTCGTGTCGCGCTCGTGTGGGGGGGGGTTCGAAAGAGCGCGCATCGCATCTAGATATTGGAACACATACCTGCCTGGTTTTTCTGCCCCTCCGTTTGCCGCCGTCAGTTCGAGCAACGCTGGGCCGACAACGCGCGCAAGGGAATCCCGACATGCGTAAAGTCAACTTCCTGTCGGGCTTCGCCACGCCCCCCTTCTCCACGCAAGTAAGTTTGCCAGACTCTCAACGAACAAACCGCCTCGAAAGAAAACGGTATGACTGATTGTCCCAAGCTGCGTTTTGACGCAACTCCGAATTCGTAATCGGCCAGCGGCGGGCCTCAGAGCAAAAATGAAAATAAAGCTGACACGACCCACGACATTGCCAACGTTTTGGTTAACCCCTGGGTTCGAGCGACCAACTAGCGACTGGAGGCGCCGCCGCGGGCCGACTCCCATAAATCCACGCGGACCTCCCACAGAGTGCTCGCACGTAGGGGTTCTCACCAGTGTGACTAAGGAACACACGGGCGGTACTATAGCCGCGCCAGCACCTCCACCCCCCAACCCCTCTGATGAAAAGCTGAAACCGACAGGGGACGAGGGCAATGGACCTCATCGGTGTCGTCGTCGCACCGCTTCGTTCCTCAGCTTTGCGTCGCTGGGGGGAAGGGGGGCGCGGGCTGTGCGTCCACACTGGCGCGGCGACAGATTCGGCTACCGCCGCATGGGCGCGCCGCGATATTTTCACTTCGATCGCCTCCCGAACGGCGGAATCTGGGGCAGCGCGGTCAGAAACTGTGGCACCCGGCAAGTAGGGTACAGCATAGACATCGAAGACGCTACATGAAGAATGAAGCCCATGTTTGGCACCAGAAGTGCCTGGATGCACGGGCAAGGGCTAGAGGAGTAACCCCGGAATGACCTGAGGAACAGCGAACCCCTTCCGCACCCAAACCTGCCCTCACTGCAGCGTCTGGGCTGTAGGCGTGCCGGGGTTTCGGCTACAGCCCGGTGGGCGGCCGCCTCGTGCTGGGTGGGTGTGCCGAGGCCTCGGCTGGTTTTAGGTCGGGCATGTCACCCTACAGACGGATGTTGGAAGATTAGTTATATATATATATATATATACGTATATACGTGTATATATATATATACATATATATATATAGATGTGTCTATATAAGAGAAAACAACGCAAAAAATGGTCGGAAGAATCGTTCCCTGGCTATTTTGAGAATGCTTTTGAAAACTCCTCCTGTATAGGGGGACAGGCCCGACGCGAGGCGGGTGCACCCACCCGGCGGGCGCCTCGTGCGTCCTGGCAGGGCATGCCGAGGCCCCGCTGGGCGCACGACCGTGGGCGCCTCGTGGGCGCCTCGTGCGGGCCAAGGCTTCGCCTGCTACACTCGGGTCGGGCGTGTCCTCCTCTGGGCGGACTCCCTGGGCGAAAAAGAGATCCTAGCCAGGGGATGTCCCAAACACATATCCGAAAGTGGTCCAACTTCCAACAAGATCGTCCTCTATAGTGGCCCGAACTTCCGAAAGTCCAGCTTCCGAAAGTGGCCCGACGCGATGCTGCCCGCCCGTGGGCGCTCGCGGCCGCTCGGGGGCGCCCTCGTGCGCTGGGCGCGCGTGCCGAGGCGTCGCCCAGCGCCCGCCCGCGGAGCGCCTCGCGGGGTGCCTCGCGGATGGGGGGGGCCGCAGGGCCTCCTCCTGAGGAAGTGGAGCTCTATACCTAGGTCGGGCGTGTCCCCCTACAGGGGGATGTTCGACGAAAAAATTTAAACAATACCCCAAAAACAATCAAAGCATTGTCCATCGGCGGTGGACAAACCTCCCTTTAGTAAACCTCCCCTTAGTGAAAAGCGCCTGGGACCGAAACCGACGGACCTGGACCCGCAAAAATGACGGCCGCGACGCCCCCTCGCGAACCGAAAACGGCCAATTCCTTAATCGACGTGTCAGGGTAGGAGGTCTGTCCAACCCCGAGTCCAAAAATAGTCTGGGGAATATTTTTTGAGTTTGTTTCACATTTTCGTGGATTTTTGGCGTATTTCTTATTTTTCGTAGAAAATCCCCCTGTAGGGGGACAGGCCCGACTTCACTCTATACCCACACCGAGGCCAGAGTTATCCGCACAACAAATCCGCCGACCATTCGGCGTGTGTGAGACGCTTTTCCGTTTGAGTCGTCGTCGTCCTCCTCCTCCTTCTCCTCGTCGTCGCCATCGTCGTCGTCAGTCCCATGGACATTGAGAGACAAAGAAGAGGAACGTCGCTATGAAGTCGATTCCCATTCCTCTATCCCTTACCTGCGAGGGGAGGGGAGGGGATTTGGGGGAGGTCCCAGGTCAGAATACCGCCCTCCCACGGGGACCAACGGCTGGTCCCCCCGGGGGTTGGGTCCGGGCGGGCCCCGCGGGGGTCGCCAGTGGGGGCCCGGGGGAAGGTCCCGCCGTCAGGGTCGGCGGCACCGGCCGTGAGGCCTTCGCAATATCAGATCATCTCATCCCAGTCAGGCGGGTCTTCCAACAGAAGCAGTGCGCGCGCGTGTCAGAATCACTTAGAAGCAAGACATGCTCGTAGAACATCAAGACGATGTCATTCCAAAGCAAGAAAAACAAGTGGCGACTCAACGAAACAATCCAGAATGTTGCGCGTGGGCCCTCGCTGAAGCCATGAGGATGATGTCAAATGAGACCGGCAGGGCCGCAGGCGCACGCGCATGTCGAAAATGTTCAACAGCCATCACGAGCCCGCCAATACTGTCAAATAATACAACGCGGGTCAAACGCATACGTCGAAATCATTCCACAACCAATGGTGCTCTTATAATTCCAGCATCGAGGGGGTCAGAAACATGCGAATCCTACATGGTTGCAAATCAAACTAAGACTAATCATGAAGATCTACGGGCGCGATCCCCTTATCAAGCGCAAGCGTCATCATGGACATCGTCATCGTCATCACCAGAAAAAACAAAGGGATGTCTACAGAATACATGCCAGGAATTTTGTTCTGCAGGCGCGCACTTCCCCATCATCCTGATCAACAAAATCGTTATCATCACCGCCAGCGGCAATAACGCCATCGTCATCTTCATCGTGTGCAACCAAGAGGATCACATACAATATGCTAGGTACATAAGTACATGCGGGCCCACGCTCCCTCTTCATCCTCATCAACACAATCGTTGCCTATCCTCGCCAGCGTCAGCAATGCCATCGTCACCGTC